AGTAACGGTTGGAAGTTTAGGAACTGTTTTTGAGTTGTAGATTTTAGATGGAGCGACACGGATCTTGGCGAGCGGGTGCTTTACTTCTACACATAGCAAGTTGCATTCCAAACATGGGTCGACCGGGTTTTGTTGTGGCAGCTCCCAGAGGCTGCAGCACAATTACGACGTGAGTTTTTCTCCAAATAGAGTTGAAAGACTGAAGGTTGAAAGTTTGGAAGAACCTGACTGGGCTCTCCCATTCGAAGAGCTCGAAGCAGCTTTGGGAGTAGCTTGGAAGGGCTTTGAGTGCTTGGCTTGGAAGTAGCTCAGAGTGCTGGAAAGCTCTAAGTGCTCGGAGTAGCTCGGAGTTCTTGGACGCCCCCCCACTCGGTGCTTGGGAGGGCAAAGGTTCTGAGTAGCTCGGAGTGTTGGAGAGTCGCTCTAAGTGCTTGGAGTAGCTCGGAGTTCTTGGACGCCCCCCACTCGGAGTCGCTGGGAGTGTTTCGGGGTAGATCGGGTGCTCGGAGTGCATCAGTAGACGTGCCGTCTTCGGAATTGCAAGCTCTTCAGAACCCCTACAATAGTGCTTGCTGCCTGCGGGCGAAAAGTCCACAGGCTCCGAAGTGAAGAATTCTGAGCGATGGCTGCAGATGGCCCCAGCAAGTGCTGTGTGTGGGGAGCTGGGTCTTCCCTCCCCAGAGAGAGAGGTGAACAGGTGGGAGAAGTTTGCCAAGTCCTTACCGACACGTGAGACAGAGGCAGATTTGTCCCACCACGCCAATTTTCTGTCATTCCCAGCTAGTGAGACAAAGGCAGGTTTCTTATTCGCAACAGGTGAGATGGAGGCTTGCCAACCACTCCAAGCAAGCATGCTAACAACAAAGGATTCTTTTCTCCTTGTTGTAGATGTCGAAGTTCTTTCGCCAACGAGTTTTCTGGAGCTTTCGACTCGGTGGATGGACACTTAAGAAGGCTAGTTGTGCTCGTGCACGCGAAACTTTTTTGCCGCTGCATCAGCTGGTTCAAGAACAATCAAGCCACGAAGCGTTTTTAAAACGTGCAGTGATGCCCTGGTGCTCCCCAGTGCCGTTTTTAAGTCTTGCACACGCCGAGAATCCAGCCAGTTGCGGATGTTACCATGAGTATAGTTCGTCCGCGGAACACGGCTTTCAACGTGGAGGGGACGGTGGGCTGCTCAGGATAGCTTGGAGATGCCTTCGGGTGGCGCGCAAGCTCAGGCTGGCACCATTCCGCAGACTCCGAATTTCTCGGCTTTGTTCCCGGATGGCAGCGGGGATGTGGCGGGCGGGTGTTAGTTGTGCGTGGTACATTGTCAAGTTGAAGGGTCAGCAGGACATTTTCGCCGCCCACTTAGCAGACCTACCATCCGAGGGTCATGTTGCCATGAAGCTGTTGCAGCCGCACTAGAGAAGGAGAGTGGCCCATGCTCGACCGGGACACCCGCAATATGAAATGTCCGGTCAGCGGCATCCATCACAAAGATATCGAATACTTCAGCAGGGCTTGCGTAAAATGTTGACCAAGGCTTTCGACTCCTCGTTGCTCGGAGACGAAGGCTTAAGCCATGAAGGCCGTGGGGTTTGTGGCACACGCTTAGGTTCTGCATGGGAGAGTTTAGGCATCCGTTTAACATCGGTTCCTGGAACATCTTGGCCTTACCGACGATTGTTCGTAAGCTGTGGTCCGTGATTGCAGTCCCACGATTGTCACGTAGCTGTGTCCTGCTACTGGCCTGGAGTTGAGTGTCCAGGACGACATGGCCATCGAGTACCTTGGAGGCGGGTCAGGGTTGCCACTTTTTTTTTTTAATGTATGTTCTGCTTCTGGTTGTACCGAAGATCGTGGCGTGGGCTTTGTGTGCTGGCCCACCTCTTCCGGGATAGATGCACGACTGAGTCTTGGTGGTGTGGGACGCTGATGGCACAAGCTGTGACGAAAGAGCATGGCTCAGCGGCCTTGCAGTGGCAAAAGCAAGGCTTTGGGCTCAGACAGACAAGGTTACGAGATTGCATGATCGAAGCGCATCTCTCTTTTTTCGAATTCGTGTTGAGGGCCTTGCTCGCACATCGCAGAATGTGTGGAATATGCGTAGTAGCCATGTCAACGAACACGTCGCTCTTGCATGTGAATGTGATTTATTATGCCCTGCCCTTGACGGCACGGCCGTGAGCTACAGCAGGTGTGGAGCACCAGGACATATGGAGCTGGTCTACGGGACACGTTGGGTGCGGAAAGTGCGTGTGTTTACGGCAAGATTCATGCTACCGAGCATTGCTGAGCTGGACGGCGTCACGACGAGGTTCCTGAGGGTGCAGGAAAGAAAACCCTCTCACTGTGCATGGATTGGGCATCCGGGGTCCAAGCCGGGATGCTAACAAGCACTCGACACATGATGGAGCACCGAAGACAAGCTGGGCAGGGAAGGAGGGGTTGAGGCGTCATCATGAAGATCTTTGGCCAAAAGTGTGAGCAAGCAGTAAACTGCCATCCTGCAGGCAATATGCAGCGTTGGCTGCATGGTTCCTGCTCCTTCTGTCTTTCGACTGCACCCGCTAGCTGGGAATCGCTGCTGCACAAGGAGAGTTGCAGGCGCATTGCTAGGAGTCGCACCGCCGAGGTTGCAGTACTGCGTGGTGCGGATAGTCTGCAAGTGTGGCGGCGGCACTGGTGTTTATGGGATGTATATCCAACCTCTTCTCAACTTAGATTGCTGAAGCACAGTCTTGTCACCCTTTCATGTGCTCTCGTTCTAGTGGTCGTGGTCTGTGCTGATTCGAGGTTCGGCATTCCTCGAGACTGTCATCCCGACACTCGCCTTTTGGAAGTTATCTACGACTTTCAGGTTATGCGGCAGCCCCAGCACTTAGCACCCACGGTGCAGAAGCGTTGAACACAGCCGCATGCATGTTGGCTTGTGTGTGGAACCTGTGAGAAAGATGCTTTCCAGAACCGAACGGCAGGTTCGTCATGGGTTTCATGCTCGCCATCCTCACTGGGGTGCACTTGCCAGACCGGTGCGAGACGTTAGCAGCGTTGCAGGCAGTTGAGCACTGGCACCCGCTCTCGGCAGGTTTGCCTACCTCTTTCGTTTCCGAAGTCCCCGTCCTCGCGGCTTCGCATTTGTCGGGATCATGCTGCTCAGTGGGCCTGCATGGCGCTCGGAGACAGTGACGCGTCCGGCGCAAGTTTGGGCAGAAGTCATGGATTTGAAAGAGTCAAGGGCCGGGAAGAGAGCGGCTTGAGCGCGACGGGGCAGCTGAAGTAACTACTGGTGTCGTCATGCACAGCATAGACTGCATGAAAAGGAGCCTGAGATCTTGCACATAGATGCTACCAGTACTGACCCGTCGCGGAGTTGCTTGTTGAAAGACCGTCCCAAAGAAGATGCCTGGATGTTTGGCCGCGCCCACGCGCCCACGGCCCTGGCCTTCTAAGGCTTGGGGCTCCCTGGACCATGTGGAGGAACTCTCCAGGCCCCAGAAATCTAACAGAGTCTCTGACGTCTGTCAAGTCTTGCGCCACCAAACCACGGTGGCACACGTTGCATAAGGAAAGACACCCTCGCTTTTTGCGTGAATCCATGCCAGCACTCATGGCGAATGTTTCGAGTTCGAGTTCCCGTGGAGCAAGAGCAGATCGAGTGCTGCATGTCTCATTGCGGGCAGAGCGACTCAGTAGCTGCTGCTGATGCGGGGATTAGTCCGGAAGCTCCTCCTTTCTGTCCTGAAATTCACCGTGAAAGGATCTCCTTCACAACCGCCTACTTTCGAGACGGCGGCTTGAAGAGCTTGCTCATTGCCATGGCCATCTTTGCGGCCGCCGTTGGTCTCTTGCTCCTTGGCCGGGTAGGAAGCCACCAGCGCTGAGTCAGCTTCGCATAGCTGCGCAGCACCGTGTGAGGCTATGGCATTTCATATGTGCCTTCAAGCACAATCCACTCTCAGGCAAAGGGCACAGAGGGGGGACCAGAGGGAGGAAGCATGCGCGCAGTGGGGTCTCGGGCGAAGGATTCCTCGCCTACTGCTGCTCCAGACTTTCCATCTGGCTCTTCTACGGCGTCTACCTCTTCGTAGCGTGGGTTTCCCTGGAGCCCACCGTATGCGCGCCTAGGCCTTTCATGGAGCCCAGGTCCGAGACGGCGGGTGTCTATGTCCACCTGCATCATTACATCATCGGTTTCCTGGTGGCCTTGCTAGCGGAGTTCAACCATCCCATCTCCATGATCCTGCTTGCGGCAGGCCCAGGTTTCATGTTGCATTGCGGGTTGAGCAACACCTCGCAGTTCTTCTCACCAGTCTTTTTAGTCTGTCCACCGGGTCAGGCACAGGGGTCTTCGTGCAAGGCATCTCGGCCGGGGAGCCCGGCAAGTCGTCTTCCTCAAATGTGCAGTGTTTTGTTCTGTTGTTGGAGGGCCACACATCCCGGAGCGCCCCGTGGAGCTAGGATCCTTTCACAAGGGTGTCCTGTAACAAGTATGTAGGTGCATGTGCCGTGTATGAAAACAACTGTCCCTGTTGGGTTTAAAGTTGTAAATTGCATCGTTGCTTGATCTGGTAATTTTGGAAGGTGGACCAGGTGTGGGGGTGCGCCTGGGCGCGGCGCGTCCGTTTTGGTTTGGCTTTCTTTCCAAGGCCTACGACGCAGATCCCGTCATCGACTCTTGGCTTTGGACGGGAATGGCTCTTCAAGCCCGTACATCTTTTCGTGCCTTGTGGTTCAGCCTTCTGTGGCGTTCCAGGGAGGCATTGTCAGTTTGTGCAACGGCTGCAGCAGACACCAACACAGAACAGCTGCCACAGCCGGCAACCGTGAGCAACCTTTGCAGCTGCTGAGGTGAAGAAGCGACTCTTCCTCTTCTAGCTTCTCTGTTTGTGGCCTCGCGGCCTAGCGAAGCAGGTGCACCTAGTAGTGGCCTTGGTTGCTGTCTTCAGCACCGAGGGTCTTGCTAGTGTACATAGTTGACAAGCCTCATGCAGGGCTTGGCAGCCAGATCTGCAAAAGCGTGACGGACTTCGGTTGCAACGAAAGTCGAATCTGCGCTTCGGTAATCTTCTGGCGTGGAGGACGGTTGAGAACCTCAGGCACTCAGAGCATCTTCAGGCAGTCTCACCGGTCGCCTCGCTGCTGGGCTCGAAAGTGGTTCCAGCTGCTTCTGACAAGTCGGGGTGTCTTGATCGCACATGCCACGCCGAGTTGCAGCCGGTTCTTCTTTCGGATAATATGCGATAGTCGCCAGTTTGCTGAATGCCTGCCTCATGAGCAGTAGCGAACCTAGCAAAACGATAAATCCAGGCAAGTTGACACATCATCGCGTGATGATTTCTGGTCTGGAGATCAGCTGTCCTGATCGTAAGCTCGGTGAAGCTGTGCCTTCACAGGTGGTTTGGTTTCGGAACGGACTAAGTTAGTTGCTCGCGAATTACACAGTCCCTGAACTTGTAGTCACAGTCTGCACTGAGGTGGTGCTTGATGGCCTTCAGCAGTGGCGTTAAGCTCGGTGACCTTGACGACTTCATCTCCCTGTCACAGGACGGGGGGTCTCGGGAGTTCCAGTGCAGATCTGCAGAAGGGCCGCGCAAGGGCCGGTCAGATTGTCTTTCAAAGGAATGCGTGAAGCCGCTGATCGAGGCCTGGACGGTCTGGCCGCGTGACTCTTTGGTATTTGGCACGGAGGCTTCGTAAGATGCCGACACGTTGCCGGTAGCTGGGGCAGGTAATCTTCAGGCCCATACTATGTCATCATGAGTCCTATGTCATCCTTTGGGAGCCTGAGACAAGGCCGCTGAAAGTGGCAGCAGCGCAGGCGGCCCAGATGCTGGCAGCGAAGTGGCAGCGAGGAGCGAGTAGATGCGAGTAGATGCAAAAAGGATGCGAGTAGATGCAGAGTTTGACGCGAACTTGACATGAAGCCTACGTGAACCTCGTGCCGTCCTGCTGGTCAGCTCGACGTGGCCCTATATGATTGCTGTATGTTCTTCTGAAGCGAGACTAGGGATGAACGTGCATAGGCCTACGGATGCTCAGGATGGAGTGTGACAATCTTGAGCGGGTTCAAAAGGATCAAGGTATGGAGTGGCTAGTGTTTTCTTTTCTTTCTAGTTCTCTCTCTCTCTCTCTCTCTCTCTCTCTCTCTCTCTTTCTCTCTCTGTCTCTCGCTCCTTCGGTCTTCTTGGAAACGTAGTCGCAGGTCCTGTGGTTTGCATTTACATGTGTTTTTTTGGTAGTACGTTTCGCGATTTGGGCCGCTTCCGTCCGGACAGGGCGTGTGTGCTCGCCCAGGCCAAGCTCGGAAACGTCAGCGAAGCTCGGTCACTTCCAGTGGCTGAGGCGGGAAAGAGCGGGCTTTTGTAGCCGTGACGCTGAAGCCCCTTTCGCACGGGGCTCCACAAACTTTCTAGGTTTTCTGCTACGTGAGCCGGTGACCTCCGGTCTATCTCTGGCGGTCAGGTACCGCAGGTGAAGAAGCCCAACTTGATCAAGTACAAATCTGAGATATCCGGCGTGATGCGGAGCGTGAGCGGTCGCAGCATTGCTGCCACGTCAGGGCGCGCGTCTGCTCTGACTTGCTGAGGTCAAAGCAGAGCGGTTCGGATCCCAAGGCGCAGCGGGCCGTGCATCGGCTCCGATTCGAGCCCTTGCCCATCCTGGCCCCGTCGCAGGCGCAGATCGGCCAGGTGACTTTGTCGGATTGCTTGGCCTGCAGCGGCTGCGTCACAAGCGCCGAGACCGTTCTGCTGTCACTTCGGTCGCACTGCCGAAAGCCTCCTCATGTTAGGGTTAGGATTCGGTTAGAGTCTCTTCCGTGGTCCTATCTTTCCTACGAGCGCCGCAAGGGCCCGAGCTGAGGCAAGAGCAGAGCGGCGACGAGTTTCTGAAGCGTGCAGAGGCCTACAGAGTCCGGGAAAAAACATCCGAGTGAGTATGGGTTTGTATCCTGTTACAAGCAGGACCGAATCAGACAACAAGAAACCGCATGTGCGTAGAAGCTGTTTGCAAAACCGTCTTTACGGATAATTTTCTGCCGTAGTCGTGATTTCCTTGTCTTGGCCTTTGGATGCCCTTGGCCAGACTTCGCCGCTCACCGTCGTCTCGATTTCCGCAGAGGCCGGCATGCAGGAAGGTTGGATCTCTTGTATCGATTGTAGCTCGTGGCAGCCAAGAGCTGCTTTTGCTGCCCCTGCTACACGTAAACGACTAGTTTCAGGCATCTCTCAAGAATTCCTGGCCGGATGCCGGCCGATGCTAATATGAAGCCAGCGACGCAGGTCCCTATAAGCCGTGTGAGGGCATACTCGGGTGTTGCCGCGCGGAACTGCGGAGTTGGCTTTCGCCCCGTAGCCTCGCAGATGCGAGAGGAAGGACCCTCTGAGTCTGACTGAGGGCATTCTCAACCGAAAAGAAAGCTGCGGAGGCCCGCACCTCCATTGCTGCCCACAATGGCGAGGGGCCCCTGCTGACCTTGCGCCGGATAGGGGAGGTGCCCGCACCCCGTGGGCCATCCCGGCTTCTTGCAGCTCCTCGCTTTGCAGGGACTGCGACGGCTGGGTGCCGACCTGGTCCTGGAGGCTTCGGCAGCCGAAGCTGTGGCACTTCTTGAAGGCGCTGGGACGTCGCCAAAAACGTGTTTTGTTTGTGTCACTTGTGTCGTGTCGAGACACTCTCAGGCCAGGCAGAGTTCACGCAGCGCTTCCGCAGTGCCATGGCCTCGTGGCGACTCGCTTCGCTTCTCGCGAGTCCGACTTCCTGCGAGGCTGTGGGAGGTAGCACTGGCAGCCGCAACGGCTCCAATGGCTTCAGCCGTTCGGGCCGGATTCTTTGACACAAGCCAGCTCCCAAAGTTTCGTAGAGGAAAAAATCTGGAGCGCCACGAAGGTGGGAAGTCTACAGCCGGCAAGCTGCCGCTGCTGACATCCCACTGCCCAGGTGCGGTAAGTTCGTGCGGATGTTGCAAAGATGGGTGACAGGCTATGGGGTGCGATTTGGAAGCTAGGAAACGTAGCTTGCCGAGGAATGAAACAGTGTAACGTGGTATGTGAGAGTTCACAGACCCTCATGGCTAGTCGCACGATGTCGCACGTGGGTTATTGAGAGGTAGCCGAGGTAGCAAAGCAGAGGAGTCCCGAGCTATTGCCATTTAAGCCAGGAGTTTGAACTCGTCAAAATTTCCACCATGCATTGGAACATACCTTGATGTTGATTGGAGCAGTCCGGGCATTGGTCAGGTTGGACGCTGTATGCCGAGAAGGTGTGGATTCTTGGCCTTCCCTGCTGTTGTGTGCGCGAGATGCAGAAATTCAAGAGCAGCCGACAGTGCACGATCTAGTTTGGGTTTGGCCGATTCCGGCGACCGCGCTGTGGAAGGTCGTCGATCCGGTGGTATTGCCGCACCTGACGCCAATACGACCTCCGCAGCACGTGCGAAGACCTCAGTCAGTCAGCCCAGCACAATCTGCCGCCGGCTCATGGCGGTGGCTCAGTGGTTCCCAGCACAATCTGCCGCCGGCTCATGGCGGTGGCTGGTTTAATCGTTGTTGGCAGGGCCTTGCTGCCGGGCTTATGTACTACATAAGCCCAAGCCCGCGGCTTTCTTTTAGGCTCTTGGTAGCATGAAATCGCAGACCAAGGCAGGGGCGCCTGGTGAAGACCGCTCTCCTGGAAGCCGTCAACCGTCGGCGCTTCTACCGCTGGTGGCGGGTCTGCCTCCGACCAGATTGCCTGGGCTTCCGACAACTCGCATAGCAAATCACTGCTAGTTTGGTGTTGGTTTTGTAGCAGTAGTGACATGTAGTGACATGTAGTGACACCTGGGAACTTCAACCCCGGCCCTGAAACCATGAATCTTCGTCAATTCGTGCAGGAGCAACAGTGGGTGTAGGCGCAAGACCTGAGTGCTCTCTGAGCCGTGGCTGCCAGGGGGAAGGAAGAACCCATTCCATAGGAAGTGCCGGATCTGTGAGCTGTTTCCCCGTGCGCTCGGCCTTGTGGCAGGCACGGAGCCCCTTCTTCGCTGCGGGCTACTGGATCCAGTCGCTTCTGAAGGCAGAGACTTTCACCGCAGTGAACACGACGCCAATACTTTGTTGATTCAGGAAGAAGAGGCTCCGGTCCTGCTGAAGCCCTCCGATGCCTCTCTGATGCAAGTGTCGGCCTGTTGGAGAGTCTAGACAAGCAGTGCTTTGGCAAGACCCTGTGTCACCACAAAGTGCAGCCGAGGTTTATCACGTTTTTGCAAGGATCTCGGCCTGCTGCATCCAAGTCTTGCGGGCATGCGATGCTTCCTTTTGACCCTGCAAACGTGATAGCCACACACACGGGCAGCCTCTCGCCTTCCGCGAGGTGCAGCCTTGTTACGATCGGAAGATCGAAGCCGCACGACCATCTTTTGAAGTGCCCGGGTGCTCAGAAGGCAGTCGCCACATTGCTCCATGCGGTTCCGTTTCTAGGCCCGGTGTCTCGGGCGTCAAGGAGGACCTGTGCCCATCTTCACTGACTCGCCGTCGCGGTAGCTTCTGCGATCTTCTGTGGCCAGGTGGACACAGTGCTGACGGCCTCCGAACTGTCCGCTGGCGACATTAACTGGTCTTACCAAAGCTCTTTCAACAGCTCCTGTGAGGAGCAGGTGCCTCCTTGTTGTCTGAGTTCAGTCGGGTCAAGCAGACCTGAGACCACCCTGCAGAACAGAGGAGTGTCGAAGAGACATGAGCCACGAGCAGTCAATGTGACTGCGAATCCCGGCCGTTTATAGCACCGAGGCTGTCACTGCTTCGGAACGCCGGCGATGGATGCTGCGGGTCCTGCGGCGTCCATGCCTGCGAGGCTTGAGGAAAGCCTGTGTCTGAAACCTTCAGCAGTGATCCCTCTGCCCAGAAGACGGAGCTGTCGAAGATCCCGCCGTGCCCATTGCAAAGCGAGGCAACTGTTGCAGAGAGTCATGACAGGGGTAGCCTGATCTTGGTAGCCCTCCTCCCGTCAATGGAAGCGCCTTCTCTGTCTGAGCCGTGTCGAGCAGAAGCGCCGGAAGCTTGCTGTTGGAGGTTTTGACAGATGTCTTCCTCGGAAGCTTAGAGGCCGGCGCTCCGTAGCCTGTCAGGAGATTTGCTGGTGCATAGCTCAGGCTAGAGTGTCGCCGCTCATTTGTGCGGTGCGCAGCAATGCTGGGCAGAGCACCTCAGACGGGCTTTCCCTCTGAGGGGCCAACTGAGATCCCAGGCGTAGACCTGCGTTGCCCGAGGTCGGGCGGCTTCCTAGAACACGTCTTCCGCGAGGCTCTGCACGTTGCAGCATTGACTTCAGCCTTTGAGCCACGAGGAAGCGCCGGAGTGTGCGAGTGCGAGTGTGAGAGTGTGTGAGGCTGCTCGCGAACTGTGGCAGGGCTGCAAATGGATGTTCGTGTTTCTTGCATCGTACGCTGCCGACTTCGCGCAAGCTTTATCTGTGTTCACCTTCACAGGTTTCACTTGGACTTGCCTTCGGCGCCCCTCGCTCTGCAGACAAAGCAGAACGAGGACATGCGGGAGGCCACCGGATGCCTCTCCCTCGTCCGGCAGCGAAGCTGCGGTTGAGAGACTTCGCGCGCATGTGCTGAGCTGAAGGGAGGGGATCCGTTCCAGTGCCGTTTCGGCTTGAGCCGGGCTGTGGCAGCCATGGCAGCGGCAGCGCAACCGGCCGCGAGCGCCAGCGGGCTTCGAAGGCGCGGGTGGCGTGTGCTTGTCGGCGCCGTGAAAGTGGATGACCCCGAGGCTTTGCAAGACCCTTGTGGCTGCTACCGGCCTGGCAGTGGCCTGTTTCCTGCAGGGCTGTGAGGACATCTACCGAGCCGTGGCCAGTCTGAGCGCTTGTCTGTATAGTATAGAGTCTGGAAAAGAAGGCTATCCCGGCCGCAACCGCATCTTCGCTTTGCAGCCCGGTTGCTCGGTTAAGGAGACACATGTGTCTGGCACAGCGACCTCAACATCAAGGGCTGCAGCTACTACGGATACCGTGGGTGCGACCATTGCTGCGATGGGGATTATTGTCAGTTGTTTGTGTTCATGTGCCTGTTCACTTGAACTTGGCTGTTTAGCACATTGTTGCTTGCGCCGAGAGAGCACCGGTGTGGGAGAGAAGTTAAGGGACAGAGACCTGTGGAGGTGTGTCCAACATTGCCATTACTGCATCACGCCGAGCGGGCCGGATGAGTGCGCGCAGTTGAAGTGCGCTTCGTTCTGTGCCGCTCGTGAGGGTGCAGACTGCATGAGGACTGATGAGAGAGACGGCAGTGTTGAAGTCCCGCTACCCGAACCTGGGGAAGGGTCTACTTTGGAGAAGCCTCAAGCACCAATGACAACTCCGAAGGAACTATGCGGCTTTGTGCAACATTGCGCTGGAAGAGGGGTTTAAGGCAGGATTGGATCTGAGTTGTGGTGGTCGTAGAATCGTATAGTTCGCAAAAACCGTGGATGCAAAGTCGTGGTGAGTCCTCACCCTTTGCTCGTTGATTCGCAGATGGTCAGGCCAACACCTCGACCGGCTCCACATACTACACTTGCGACGTGCAGTGCAGCTTGCCAATACTGTAACAGGTGGGGAGTCGACCGTGCGTTTGAGGAAGAGCAGCACGTTATGCTCCGTTGCAGCAGTTTTTGCAGTGCTGCTTGTCACATAGGCGACCCGCCAAGGTAGCAGTGCCAGGGCCGCCAGCGTAGCTTTGCCACTGGCTCTGTGACTGGGATGAACCTTTACGATTTTACGATTTTGGGGCCGCCCTTGGGTCTGCTTTCAAGGACCCTCGCTGCCAGCTCGGGGATACCGAAGCGACTCCTTCTCCTCGGAGGACTGGCGCACGGCCAACCAAGCGAAGGAAGGGTAAAGGGGCCCTTTGTTAGTTCGACCCAGGAGTCTTGGCTTGGATGACGTCTCTCCAGGGCTGCGGCTGCCAACCGCCACAGCCGCAGCTGTCCTGGCGACCGGAAGCCTCCGTCTTCGATGAGAGGCGCCCCTATAGGGGCCCTAGCAGCCTAGGAGCGCAGAGAGTTGAATTGCAAAGATTGCCAGGACCGGACGCGTCGTGGACGGCATCTGGCGTGGCAACCCGTCCTGGGTCTGGTGGCCCGACTTGGAGTCCGAGGATGCAGGGATCCCTGGGGGCAAGCGGGGTCCGTGTCGCAGGATGCGATGCGCAGGTTCTAGGCTACTAGGCACCGGTACTTTCTGAGCACTCTGCTTCGAAGGACTACCAATGCGTGGACATGCACCCGACCCACGGTGTTTGCGTATCCTGGACCAGCCACGAGTGGAACTGCGGCGAGCATGACTTTGGCATGTGAAGCTCGGCAGCAGGTTCTGGTTGTCGTGCTTGCGGTAGCCGCATTTGAGCTTGTCCCTGAACGTCCGAATGCTCGGTCAGGTAAATGCTATCAACTTTCGGCGAATAACCGTTATTGCGAAAAGTGGAGCTGCCACAGCCTGGAAGCCGATCAGCACATCTGTTCCTTGCTTTGCAAAGGGCGCACTGTACTTCGCTACGCCGCTACGCTTGCTGAGGCGCTGATGTCACTGAAGTTGAAAGGGCCCGAGAGGAAGACCAGCCGGGCCCCAGCTCAGGTCGCCACACCGAGGGGGACGATTCTGGCGAGGAGTGCTGGTACGACGCTTTCCCGATGACCTACGATGTCTACAACCAGCTCATGCGCCTCTGACAATCTCACGGAGAGCGAGAGAGAGAGTATAGCTTTCGTACTACTTGACGACAGACAGGGCGCATGCGCGCGCAGGGGAGGGCTGCCAGCTTTGTCCTTGGCTGTGTGGAAGAAGAGCGAGAGGGAGAGAAAGCATGTTTTCTGCCTCCTGAACTTGGACGACATGCGAGTCTGATGTCTTTGCAACCACATGGTCACGAGGGCACGCATTCTTTCCGATCAGTCGACCCGTCATTTTCAAGTGCACAGGCAGACGGCCCGGGGCCCATCCTCTGAGGGTCGGGGATGGGGTGCGCGAGACTGGGCGCGGGGCCTGCCCCTGCCCCCTTTCGCCCCGAGCAAAAGCTCTTCGGGGCGTCTAGGCCCATTCGAGTTGCAAGCAAGCAAGCAAGCAAGCCAGAGAGAGCGAGAGAGTATTGCCAACCCTCCTGCCCCTAACCCTGTCGAAAGAAAGAGTATTGCCAACCTGCCTTGCGACTACAACAGTGTGTAACGGTGTACTGTCTGTCAGGTGTTACTACTGTTTAGGTTATGGTTTTGTGCAACTTCGAGTACTCGTCGCCATAGCAGGGACGCCAGCAGCCGAAGCGCAATCTGCGAAACTGCTGCGAAACTGCCACAAGCACCGACATGCTCAGCTGTAGACACAGTCGGGGCTCAAACTAGTGTTGTTTGCCCAGTGCCTGTCAGAAGAGCCAACCGAAACAAGACCAGCAACGTCTGGGACAAAACAACTAGCAAGTGAACATCGATTCCCAGCAACGTGGGGGCCATCCTTGAACTTCATCCGCCTCAAGGCGGGGAAAGCTCTCCTAAGGGATGGCAAGGCCGGGAATCGGGTTGACACTAGTTTTGCGCCGACTCACCGGACACGAACACTGGCGTAGCGCGCCAGCGCAGGGGGAGGGGAGCTTGCATTCCCAACCCAAGCGCCTTGCAAGCAAGCAAGCAAGAGTAACATCACAGCAGGTACAGCCAAGTCCTGCAGGGGGAAACCTCGGAGGGAAGGACTCACCCGCCAAGAAGCCGCAGGTGTGCGCTCGGCGGGCAGCTGGACCGCTGCCTTCCCACGTCCTGGAGAGAGAGACTGAGACTGTGGAGACCAGGGCGCACTCGGGCGCGGGACGGGTGGGACGCTGGCCTTTCTTGGCTGTGTGGAAGAAGAGAGAGTGAGAGAGAGAAGTTGAGCTGCACCCAATTTGGGATCCGCCTGACGGAACTTGGGGGGTCGTGGCCCCTGGACCCCTTAAGCAAGCAAGCAAGCAGCAAGAGACAGCGAGAGAGAAGACATTGAAAGAGTGTGCTTTCGAGAGTCTACGATCAGGCTTTAGCCTAATTGATGATCTACACTCGTTATTCACTCCCCTTGTCCCGATAAAACATCGGGTGGGCATGATGCCCAGGGGCTTTGACAGGCCCCTATACCCGGAGGGAGGGAGAGATAGAGCAAGCAAGCAAGAGAGCGCCCTCGGCAGAAAGCCCAAACCACGTGTTGACAACATACTCTTGCTTTTGAGTCGTACCCTCACAAGCTTTCACATCCCTACAAAACCCCCAACATAGGAGGGCCCTGGTGGCCGAGGGATTTCGCACGTCCGCGTGCCCTGGAGGAGGGAGAGCGAGCATAAACGAAGAAGAGAATTGGACATAACGGCTTTGAAAGGAACGAGCAATAGGCAGCAACAAACAACAAAATCCTTGTGGTGTGTGTCTTGGTTGCCAAGGGAGCAGCAGGCGCATGGATCGCTCACGACTGGTGAGAATGCCTTCGACAAGCCTCTCGGCCTGCATTCCTGAACCAGTGCCCTGGTGGGAGCACATGTGCAAATGTACCTCAATCTCACCGAGTGCTGACGAGCTACGAACTTGTACAAAGAATGTCGGCTCTTGACGAACCCCAACCATCTGTTCGAAGTGGCGATTATCATAGATTACCGGTTCGCCATCTCAGAGGCCAAGTGCGAGGGGAAGCCTTGTGATCCGTGTGTGGTTTTGGTACTGGGGCAGTGGCGGATGGCGTGCAAATTCGTTGATACGTGGTAATAAACCTTGAAGCAGAGCTGCTTGCCTGCCCACCTGCCAGCATCTGACCCGTTATGTCCGTTTTGGCCTTTATGCCAAACAGGCTCGTATAATCCTAGAATCCTGAACAGTTGGTGGCGGCCCGCGAGCTTGTGGAACGGAGACATCGGGCGACGGCTTGGAGAGGTCGGAGAGAGCTTCTAGCAGCGACTGCCACTCTTTGAGTGCCACGAGCTTGGAGACAGGAGCGAAACGAAGAGGATGTCTTGCAGGACTACGTCAGTCTTGCACCCAGAAGCTTTTGTCGGGTGCGCCGGACTCCTGCTTGTGCACCAGGTTACCTACGCCAGCACAACGCCAGCGAGATGGCCCGGCTGGAGAAGCTTCTCGTCATGGGGCTCCGGGCTGCGGGTAGAACGCGAGGAAATGTTTAGAGTTGTGGAGATGTTCTGCCTGGGCCTCTGGCGAGGCTTGGCGTCACGACAGAGCCACGAAGGCTGGCAGGCCTCCCTCGGGACAGTGAGGTTCGTAGAGATTTGTTTTGCATGGGCCCTGCCTAGGCACAGTCAACTGGCCTCCAGTCTACGCGCTGCCGGGCTATGGAGGGTTCAGGATGTTCCTGAGAGGCTTAGGTCTAAAGCAAACCGGTGCCTATGAGACAAGCTTGTGCACGCACCCGTAGCAGCCCTCCAACACACTGCACTCATCCGGAATCCTTTTCCATGACGGCATTGCGCGGGTTTTAGTAAACAGCCGAATATCACTCGCAGAGCATGAGACGAACAAGAGCAGCACTGCGAACAAGAAAGTTCGAAGAAGACCAGCTCTAGCATGCTGTAAGCAAAAGGCACAAGAGTACTAGTCGTGGTGCTAGTAGTGTTCTCCTGTCGCCGTCGTAGTTGTGGCAACAGTCATAGCTGGTCTGTCGAATGGTCACAGCAGGCCGCATAGTGGCACTCGCAGGCAATCGCTGCAAACATTGTTTTCATGATCTCCGAAAGTAGCAGCCCAAGGCCAAAGCCACTCTTCCCTAAGGTACAGTCCAGCATCACGGCATATCTATTTCCGGTGGGGTGATGTCTGCGTCGTCAACGGCGACAATGCGATGTTGGCCAAGAGGAGCAGCGTGGGGGCGTGCGTGAAAGAACAGAAGCTCATGCAAGACTAGTATGGAGCAGTTCTGTTGTAGTAACAATCATTGTAGTACCGGCAAGTATGTGTGGTCGATATCGATACGGGGTTTCATTGGGTATGAATGGGTATGATTGGGTATGTATGTATGTATGTATGTATGCATGCATGTATGTATACACACAATATATACATGCATGTATGTATGTATGTATGTATGTATGTATGTATGTATGTATGTGTGTATGTATGTATGTATGTACGTATGTATGTATGTATGTTCTCACGTACACACCTATGCATGAGATTACATGCATACGAACCAATAAAGAGACGGTTCTAGTTCGAAGAACTGCAGGTTTCTGAAGCTTTTCCTGTCGTGCTGCCCGGCCTAGCCGAAACCGGTAGAGCCTTTTTGGGAGGGAGAAAGGAGAACAGATGAGTCACTCCATGAATTGCATGGTGGGAGCTCGCGGAAAAGAGCAAGGGATAATCTAGTCTTGTGCACGAGATGTGAGGCTGCAGCCAGTAATGCCAGCAATTCCGAAAAGCTAAAACCTCACGGCGAAGCTTTTCTCCCCCATCAGGCACTGTCACCAATGGCGGGAAATTGAGACCGAGATTCAGATATGCGGTTGCCGGGAGCTAAGAGCCCTGCAGGGTCGTTCGGAAGCAGAGCACGGACGTTAGAGCAAAAATGGGTACACAATACGGATAAAGAGCGACAAGCAGAAGAGTTCTCTAATATAATCATTGTTAATGATGCACATCTGTAGACCTGGCGGGGAGAGCACGTAGTCACGGGGATGCCGTTTCCCATCACCAGGGCGGCCTTCTGCTACAGACTCTGCTTCAGTTGCGAGGCCGGCAAGAAGATCCTAGCGGAAGGCTTCTTGGCGGCAAAGAGGTGGATGAAGCAGATCCTGCAAGAACTCCAATTCCCTGCATGAAATGCGATTGCATGATGCTCATGGGTAAGCAAACCGAGGCACTGTTCTCGGTGGACGTGTGAGGATCGCGATGTGCCTGGGTGCAGACTGGTCTCACTTCCTGGGATCCTTGTGTGGGATGCGGGCCGTGTGCAGGTTGGCCTTTTCAGCGTCCTCTTCCGGACCACGCAGCCTGGCTTGGCCTCGGCCGCCCAAAGTGTGTAAAGTCCCCTGCATTTCAAGGCAGTCCATCGACCAGTACACAGAAGGTGTGGAGTTCGAAAGCTACAGCTGCACCAGGAGCTGCAGGGGGAACACAGGCTGTATCTCTTTGCGCAAAGGTTAAGCGAATGCTTCTGTACACTTGCTTTACCACCGCCTGCAGAGTGTCAGGACGAATGTCGATGACCATTGCGTGGAATGGCAAGGTGATATCTCTTCACTAGAAGAGGCGGGGTGGGGTGAGATCATGATTCACGATCTATAGCTATGTCTACATCGACGAGGAGTGGAGTGGGTGCATAGGTGCTTCTCTGCTCCACGCGGGTGTGCGTGGCCGTCTGCAGGTGGAATGGACGAAATGCCAGGCAGTAGACTCCACTCTTCACAGGCCTGGATTGTCGTGCTGGACCGGTTCAAGACATCCCGCAGCAGGTTGGGTGCTGTTTGGATTTGCGACGAATGGGAGCTCCCCAAGACACGTGACCTCTTCCACGAGGTGTCTGCTTTGGATCGCAAGTTTGAAGGAGCATGTTTCAGATAGTCCTCGCAAACAAGTTTTTTCCTGAGCATTGAAGTTCTGAACTTCACGTAGCCTCGCACAGCATCGAAGCACTCCGATCGAACTGGCAGAACCCGCAATTGTGTTTTACAGCCCAAAGCGGTTTCCCGTCCCTGCAGAGCAACATCGGCATTATCATCACCTTTGTCTTCTTTGAGGTTGCCCTTGCTGCTGGGCATGCATAGAAAGGCCGCCCAAAAGAGGGAAGCCAGCTAGGCGTGCTGGAATGCACATCTCCGCGTGATGATGATGATGATGGTGATGATGATTATGATGATTATGCTCCTTCTACTTTTCCTCTTCCTGATCCTCCTCATCATCCTCGTCGTCGTCGTCGTCGTTGTCAGCATCTTCATTACCCTCAGTGCATAGTGAAGCTGGTGTGCCAGCCAAGGTTTGCTGCCTCATCAAGAGTTGCGACGAAGACGGGGACGCTTCTTGGGCCGATCTCACGTCTGCTGGGACAAAGCTGAAGGGTTCCGAGAATCCTTGTGCTTCGCCGGTGAAACAGGCACTCATGGTCACAACGGTCCTGTCGTGGATCACCGGCCTATGACGCTCGCTTTAGCACTTCTTGCAGTGCTTACTGCCTCACACCGCTTCGCAGTGCTCGCAGAGCGTCTGAAAAGATCTGAGGTCTGCTGCCGTTCTTAGTCATCACTCTGGGCTTCTACGGCTTTCTCTTTGCAGGCTCGGCAGCCCCGAACATCCTTCGAGCATGTTTTGAACTGGTCGCCCTGACAGGTGGGATCTTCTGGGCCGGTCGCTGCTGTTGCTGCGGAGTGCTGTGCAGCTCAGAAAAAAGTCTCTTCGTCAAGGCTGTGTCAAGCGCCGAAGCTGCTTGAGAGCTTCCGGCAATCAAGGCGTCATGAACATGAAGATGCCCGAGTTTAAGCGGGCCGAGCAGCCACCTGTCCTGACATCTGGCGCTTCGAGATCACCTCGGAGAAACTGCCAAAGCCTAAACCAACGCGCTTTACATAGAGGGCCGAAGACAGCCCCCTGGCAAGGGCCAGCGGGGTCGAGTTTTATCGTCTTGTGTGGCGCCCGGATTCCAAGGCCCAGCAACAAAGTTCGCATGCAGCGTGGCGCTTCCAAGATCTTGGGCCGCCAGACCTCGCCACTTGCCTCGAAGTTGCGGGGGAGGGAAGCCGCGCGGAGGAGAAGCGAAGCCGAGGTCTGTCCTTCCGAAATCCGTTGAAGAGACCAACGAGACCAACGAGAACAACCAAACCAACCAAACCAACCAGGCCGAAAGCGCCGCCCCGTAGCGCCTTGGAGACAAGGGTCCGACCTTCCTGACGGCATCTGCTTGGGTGGGGCATGCGAAGCATCGCTATCCACAGAGAGGCGGAATAGCCGCCACCATTGCATGTCTACATCATCATGAAGTGATGATGCTTCTTGTGTATTATGTTGGGCAGCTGGCGAGAGGATGAGGATGTCGCCAGTAGCCGCGTGGCGATGAGTGGCACGTGCCTTCAAAGGCGAAGATTGCGCTGCACGCACGGCTCTTCATTGACTTAGAAGCAGAGAGCTTCTGCTTGCGTCGAGCCACACTCGAGGTCAGACGGAAGGCTCCGAAGCAGGTCAAAAATCTTACTCTACAGGATCCTTATAACAAAGGCGACGGGCCAAGAATACATAAAGCAAGCCCATCCCACCGCCGGGCCCCGCCCAGGTCTCTTTTCTGTTATTTGTTGTTGGACACTTTCGGAACTTCGGCCTCGATTTCTGTGCCGGTCACTTGTGTCGGCTGCACGCTACGCAGCTACATTTGACCCCTCGGAGTTTATCTTTTTTTTGGATGATAGCATAGAGCAACTTTGGGGCAGTCAAAGTACCGCAGCTCTTAGCTCTGGTGCAGCTGCTGCTAGACCATTAGGCAGTCATTCTCCAGCGCTGGTAATGTTCGGGTGCTGGTCAAAAGTGCTCCTCCAGTCGTTTTCGCAGCCAGAGACAGTTCGATGAAAGATAAGTTTTTGTCAGTTATCGTAAGACCGACCAAAGCAGAAAAGGGCAAGTGAGAGGCTGCGTGTCGTTTCATCTCAGAGAGAGGCCGCCGTATGGTCGAGGAAAGTGCGCAGCCAGGGTGAAAAGGAGCAGTGGCACGTGAACTCAGGGTTTCCATGTGAAGCATAGAGCTCATGCTGTGCCAGTCTGCCAGGTGATATTGCGAGATCCCCAAAGCCAGGAAGTTTTGCCAGGATCCTACCACAAGTCAATACATACGCCATTCGGTAAAATGTTTCTTGAAGATGATGCAGAGACTGCAAAGTGCTGTACGGTGGACAGCAGCATGTCACCTTTCTCTTCGAACTTCTTTAGTCCTGTTCCGCCCAGATTGCGCTTCACCGCCGCCTATGGCTTTCGGAACATCCAGAATGCCAGTGGCCTCAGCTGCTTCGATCGAAAAGGGGGCCCATGCCATAATGCCGTCTCCAGGTCATCCGTCGCATCACGAAGGCTCACAGTGGGAACAGGAAGATGAGCCGATCTGCAGACATGGCCTTGTTCACAGTCGTAACCTAAGAGCCTCCAGACTCCTTCAAGCCCCGAGACCGATACCCGGGTGTCGAGATGTGCCAGGGGAGCAGCGGTGATGGCAAAGATATCGGCCACTTTGTGGAGATCATGGCATGTCCTGGAGGTTCTCCGTTTGAGTGCCGACAGCGATGCGCAGAAGCCAAATTTGAAGCAAACATCCTTGAAGGCTGCCTCAACGGGGGTGGCCAGATCGCGCCGGAGAAGAAGCCTGTCGAGGAGGACGCGTTTCGAGCGCCGGATCCATGTCGCCGCTGACCGCCCCTGCTCGCACGGATCTTCGACAGGATCCCGACACGAAAGCTTCTAGCCAAGTTGTGCGAAGGCCACGTGTTTTGCAGGGCTTCACTTGTTCTCGGACCCTCAAGCCAGTGGCTTTGCTTACGGAAAACGAGATCCAGTGAACCCTGCAAGCTGAGTAGCTTCAGCTACTCGGGATGCATTGCATCCCGTCGAGCGCTCAGGCAACGCCTCCAGAATCTTGAGCAGACTCTGGCTGAGGGTGATGGCACAGCCTATGCGAGGACCTCGGTCCGGTGGATCTTGGAGGTTCTGCCTTCTATCGAGGCTTTAGCAGGCGTTCACTGCCGAAAAAAATAATACAAGTTCAGTATTTGGGGGGGGGGGGGTGGATGACAGCTTCCTTCTGCTTCCTTGCTTTGTACTACCGAGGTGCACCCATCAGAGCATCCTCTAGTTCTCCCGCCTGGGCCCAAAGGAACGGGGCGGCTGAAAAGAGCAGCAAAATCAACTTCTTTGTTTCCAGTGCGAAGAGTCTCAGAGGCCTCTTCGAAGGTTTCTCATAGAACTCAGTTATCAGGTGCACGTAAGAAGACCCGGAAGATGCAGGCATACGCAGGCTCAATGCCCGCAGGGTGTCACTTGGCTTGCGATATCTGAGGATCTATCGCTACATCGTTTCCCAGGCCTCAGGGTGTCTGGTCTCGACAGCTGAGAGCCAACAAGCTCAAGCCGGGTTCCTCGAGGGTCAGAACTTCGCTGTCCATTTGGGTTTAGAGCGGTCCGCTTGTATCCCCGACGTGTGCACAAGTGCTTTTCGTAAATTCCGGGATGCAAGGTTGATTTCTGTCTTTTTGTCCAGATGTCTGTGGGATACAAGTCAGTTGGGGGCTCCCGACTTTGAAATCCTCAGGGTGGCGGTGATTGTCACGACGTGCCTCTTGAAGGCCCGGGTTTCTTGTTTTAGCGTTTTGTCTGGGTTTACAGGTTCGGAGCTGTTGTAGGGGCTCTTGTGCCCTTCGTCCCAAATCCTGCGAGGCCTCATCGGATCTGTCGGGGCGAGGACACGCCTTTTAGCTCCTTCGGGCTTCGCCCATGTGGCAGACATGTCTGAAAAGGAGCTGGCTATCGACGGAGTGGAAGAGCCTCAAAGTCGACAGTGTGGGCCCAGATGGGGGCGCCCGCTTGTGGCTTGCAGGGACTTTGCGCAGTTTTGGGACTCCGCTCTGAGCGAGAGCACGGCAAAGGTGACGGCAAAGACGTCGTCAGCAGCTCAGTGGCGAGCTCAGGAAAGGGTTTCCACGCAGAGTCATTTTGTGAAGTTGCCCTTCTCAGCGAAGGCTGTTGCACACGTAGGGCCGCATTGATTGTGCCGTGCCCTTGATCGAAAACTCTGGTCCACAGCACATGCCATGCCCCGCCAGTTCTTCAAAAAATGAAAGCCCCAAGGTTCAAGTCCTAAGAAACTCGAACATTCCAGTCCAAGTACAGGCATGCAAGCCAACCAGGTTAAAGTGAGAGACCGCATAAGTGCAGAACATTTCCCCCAGCGGTCAAAGCCCTTATCCGCTGCACATGGGCATACATGGGCTGCGGTGCAAGTGCATCGAAGAAGGGCCCGGCCGCTGTGCTGAAAGGGACCTGTCGCATTCTCGCGGGAGCTCGGATTGCCAGCGCTGCCATGGACAAGCCTGCATCTGAGGTGGGCAAACTGAAAGATGCTAGGACCTGGCCCTGTGCCCTCGCTTCCCCCGGAATCCAAGCGGAAGCCGAGTTCCCGTGAGGACGAAGTCCGGCGAATCGCTTGATGCAAAGAAGGCAAGTTGGGCCTTTGGGCCTTTGGGCCATGAGTCATTCATCCATTTCATATCCATTTCAGTCGAATTTCATGGCTCCGTGCTGTGCAGGGGCTACACAGAGCCAAGTCCGACCTGGAGCTTCATCGAAAGGACGCTTCTCTGGTCTCTGGCCTCTCGCTTCCGTGCCTCCGGGTGCCTCAGGAGTGTACAGAAGACGACATGGGCCAGGCGAATCTTTCCAGAGCGTCGAAAGTTCACGGACCGCTCCGCTTGGCAACGAGGTCTTTACGATCCAGCAAGCCTTTCCGACTGTGGACGCTGCAGGGAGGTGCCCTTGTGTGCATTGTTGAAGCAGATATCTATCCGTGGAGGCAAATTCATGCGTGTGCTTCTCAATGTGAGCTGTCGGTTCTCCTGGCATCGCGAGGCGACATAGCTGTTCATCATTGCCAGAAGAGCTGGTATGCACCACGTGCAGTTGTTTCCTAGCTGCTTGTCTCTGGATACTGGTTCCGATTTCCGGCGTTGATCGGCCAGTCGGGGAGCCTGCACCGTGGCCTGGTTGTAGCTCTCTGGCTTTTGGGTGTTGAAATCAACAATTTCGAAGCACTCCACCCGAACGTTTGTCAAACTCAAGGTTTCGGACCTGCAGGAGAAAAAGTTCTTCGCGTGCCTTGGGAGATCGCTGGGGAAAGCTGATGTTGGGTCAAATCCCGCGAGGATTAGTGTTCGAGAAGGCTTCTCTAGTTTCTAGTGTTCATTTTTAGAGGTTATCATTTGAAGTTGGGCTCCTCTTGAAGGCGCCCATTTCTTCTTATCCTAGGATAGGACCCCGGTTTCGTTAACAGTGACTCAGTGTGTTTCATTTTCATAAAGAACTCTGCTGCCCCTTTCCGATGTAGTAAACCAGTCTTGATTCTGTTGTGCGGAGGTGCAGAAAGTGCTGGATGGCTGGCCGCAGGTTCGTGCAGTGCCTTGACGAGAACATTCATCGGACTCTCTTTCATCGAATCTAAATTGCCGCGAGAAGACTTCCGCTGGTTCGGTTGGGCCACTCCGTCGTTAGAGTTTTCTGCGGCCGACATGCATTCGATTCAGCAGATATACGCATAAATTGGCCGTTGTCATGCTGGAGGTGCGCGTCCTGCTACATGGCCGCCTTTCCGCAAGAAGTTGTCTCGAAAGTCTTGAAGTGTTTTGGGGTCCCCCAACGTCCCCTGCAATTCGTTACAGTTATTGCCTCGTGATCCTCGTCGTGACATGTCCATCGCCAGGTAAATGAATAAAACGGATCGAAGTAAACCCTCAACCCTAAACCCTACAAGGGTCTCTGTCTCTCAACCCTCTGCCGCCTCTCAGGCAGCAGGGGCTCAAGAGGCATCCCGGAGCTGCAGGCCGATGTCGCCGAAGATGCAGCGACGGCTCGGCATCCCAGACGAAGTTCGGAGTGGCCATCTCCGGACTTGCCCAAAAAAGAAAGCCCTCTCCGTGAGAGCCCAAAGGCGCAGCTCGGGGAACTTGGACGCCAGCTACCTCTCGACGCGCAGGCTCTCACACGCCACCAGTGACTCGACTCAAGCGACAGGGGCGGGGGTTTCTCTGAAGCTCTGGGTTCTTCTATTGGCTTAGTTTGCAATGTATCATCTGAGGTGCATCGGTTGCTGGGCAGCTGCAACGGCGTGGAAGTGAAGCGAGACTTGGTCTGCAATGTGAAGCAGGCGAGATCATTGCTACAGGGCTTTGACGACGCTTTTGCTGTCGCTGTTGCTGCGATTGCAAGGCGCAGGTGAATGAATTGAAGCATTGCTGGATTGTTTTGGGATCCAAGGACAATTGCGACTGCAGACGGGTCTTCCGATGAGGCCGCGCAGCCGCAGCAGTTGCAGCAGCCGAAGATAGCACAGTGTTGCTCGATAGGAGAGACCCCCGGCGGTGGAAGTGCAAGAACCCTTGAAGTGCCGGCCTCGAGCCGCGGGTCGGGGATAGGCTGTCGCTGTTTCCGCTTCCGCTCCGAGGCAGCGGCGCCACTCCGTTCAAAGCCAGTCACCAGGTCTGCATGGGGAAAGTCGTGGTTTTGCAGAACCGTGCGAAACGCGCCCCTGGGAGGCAGGCGCCGGTCCAGTACCCGGGAGGCCTTGAATTGCCTTGCCTGCCGTGCTCCCGAAGCCCGGCCCTGCTGAGATGTCAATGTCTCCGTCACGGCGGCGGTCAGAGGATGCCTTGGCCGCATTATGCCGGCAGACATGTCGGGTTCTGGATACTGCTTTTTGACCAAGACGTCCCGAAGCTGTCATGCTAAGGTACCCCCACAGCGACGGCAATCAACAAACGATGGCCTTGTTACAAAGTCCAGTGCCTTGACTCGGGCATGCTTGGGTTCGTGCACTCTGCTGAGCACCATTCAGGCAAGTGAAGCACACCTCACAAGGTGCTCGATAGCTGTATCTGAACGTTCTGCTGTCCTTGCCCACATATCATGTCATTTCCATCGTCAGAGAATTCTTTCGGGTGCCATGTTGACCAAGAAGAGAGGGCGAACCACTGCAGTGTTTTTTCTGTCAGACTTGGAGGTTTGTCAGGAGCCGAGTCATAATTCGGAACATGTGCAGTCACGGTGCCCGGCGAACAGAGGGTGGTGTGGTGAACTGCACGAACTCTCTGACTGTCGCTGATGTGCTGCGCTTTGGCAGCTTCCATGCTGGACATGTTCGATTGGACGAAGCTCTCTGGAACCTGGGACGTGGAGATTCGCGAAGAGGGCGCCAAGACGAGGCACTTTCGGATCGTGTTTGGGTGTTTGTAAGGGAACGAAGCGATTTGTCGTCGCAGGAAGGAGCAGAGGCTTCTGACTTTCTGCGACTCGGGGAGCATCACCGGGACAGGCCGCAGCAATCACTGGGGGGGGGGGGGTCCGCTCTTTGCACACTCGCGCCTCTCTCCGCCAGGCAGCGCTGACTGCGTGTCGCTGGATGGGAATGCGACCGGCCTCAACATGGAGTGGCTGGAGGCGGCATGGCTTCCCTCGAGACGGCTACGCTCTAAGTGCCTATCCGCAGGTCTATCCTTGGGGAAGCATGCATGTGACGGCGAAGTACAAAGTGAAGACCAAGATGCTTGGATCAAGTAAGATGTAGAGTCAATGTAGAGAAGATGTAGAGATGTGGAAGCAAGTGCGGTGAAGTGGGTGGAGGCAGTCTCGTATATCTAAGACGACTCAGTGTCGGCCAGATTGTGTCGCTTGTGCCATGTGCGTGCCCCGAACGGAGAGGGCTTTTTCCCGGGCAGCGGTAGTAAGTAGTCGTGGCGATGGAGTGCTTGTGATGTGGTTGTGGCGGTGACTGTGCCGCAGCTGCCGGTGTGGCTCGCCGCCAGGGGGTCGTCACGTCCTTGCGATGCTGAAGAAGCAGCTTCTTCTTCTTCTTTTTCTTGCTGTTGGTGGTGGTGGCCTTCTCCACATGCGACGAGAATTTTCGATGTGCCATTTGGGCAGTGACTTTGCGTCTCTCATGAACTCCGCCCTCGGGGGTTCTAGGCCTCACGGCCTGTGCTTTGCCCTACCTCGCCCCGGAAGGCCGACGACCCGGGAGGCAGATGGTAACATAGTAAGGTGATGGCGATCACAAGTAGCGACCACCGTGAATTCATGATATTCATTTGTTCACAGCAACGACAAACATGAGATCCAGAATAAGCAACAACTGTTAATGGCAAGGCAGATTGACAACAACGACAACCAATTGTCATGCCGAGAGTAGCCATGGTACTGTCAATATTGTACAAACCGGCGGTGGTGGTGATGGTGGTGATGACTCGGTGATGACGATGATGAGAATGAGGAGGAGAATGGCGCCGTTGGTGCGGCTGCTGATGTTGGCAAAGCAAATGCCGATGACGATGGGTACGATTGGGTTCGTGTTGGCAGCGTGAGAAGCAGTTGTAACGGGCTGCAGCTGGTGGAGCAGCACGAGCCGCCGAAGCGCAGCTTGTGGTAGTTGTTGTCGCAGTCGATGTCGCAGGGGATTGGCGCTAAGGAGAAGGACTCGGACGATACAGCAACAGCAGCGAAACCGTAGTAGCAACAGCAGCGCTGACAACAGCACAGGACAGTTGGGGTAGCACCAGCAGCAGTGCCCGTGCAAGTAGCCGATTACAGTAGATACAGTACGTTCACGTTGCGAACACAAGTATGTAGACAGCATTCTTTCCGCACATGTGAGGAGATTGCACGGGACCTTCAAAGCCTCCGATGGGGGTAAAGGCAGCAGGATATCTCTGCGTCTTTGTGCCATCTGCTTAGCACAGCCTGCCTTCGTGTTCAGGCAGGATCGACATGTTCCACCGGCTGGAGTAGGCCAAGCCCGGCCAGGACGAGCCCCCAGAGAAACCAAAAGAGAGGAGGGTGAGGGAGCGTTGGAGGCGAGTCATAGCTTCTTCCAATTGCAAGGCTTTGGAGCTAGCATCTACCAGCTCCTCACGTCACAGAAGGCTTCGGAGGGAAAGCTCCCTTTTGCCCTATCCTATCCGTCCAAGACGGGGGAGGCGAGCTCTACGAATTTGCGAGCCAGTTTTAAGCTTGAGCCTGTCACGATGCATCATGAATCTCGCCCGGCTGAAATTTGGATTTTGGCACAATCAGCATGTTGTTCTGAGTTTGTGCTGATCGGGCATGCTTCAGCATGCAGGCCAAGTGTGTGTTTAACTTTCGGCGAGAGCGCATTTCCTGCCGAGGGCTGCAGCGATGGCAGCGCCTTTTCTGCATTTCCCCGGCGAAGTGCGGCCCAAAAGGGTTGTACCCACGGACGCTCTTGTTGAGTTGCCTGACATTTTCCAAGAGGGTGGTGCCTTGACCGAAACCGATCCGCAATGTGTTTGGCAGGACGCTATAGAGTCCCTTCGAACAGACCGGAACTGGGTGTTCCGTAGACTTCTTCGCCCAGTACGAATATCACGCAATTTGCCCCTCAACTCTTCTATGAGGTCTTGCAGCAGAGCGGTGCCTAACATTGCGAGCGCTCCCTCTTGAGCGAGCTTTTGCCAGGGAGCGCAAAAGCAGAAACTACATTGAGCACTTGTTGCGCACCGTGATTCAATTTCTCAGATTTCTCATATGGCCAGTGATGCATATCTACATATCCTCGTGTTTCCTGTCAGGTGCCGAGTTTTGCATAGGACCTTTTTTTGAACTCAAGCTTTCCTCCCATCTGCGGCATTTTTGAAGGGTTCAGAGTCGAGGGACTTGTCATTGAGTTCTGAAGGGGGGCGGCAAGAAAGCGCTCCAGCGCTGGGAGGAACAAGAAAAGTAAGCTAAGTAAGCATGGATTTTTGCCCCCCCTTTGGCCCCAGTCTCGCCTGTTTGCCGAGATCTTCTTGGGCTTGCGCATGTTGCCAATGATCAAGAAGATCAGTTATTTCACGGTGCAAATTCTGCGAGCTGTCCTGGATTTCAGCAGACGCTGAGGGCTTTCATCGTATCCTCATGGCACGTGTGCCGGGTGTTCCTGTTCCTGCTTACACACGAGGGCTCTTGGTGTCTCTCTCTTGCTCTGTATCTCTCTCGCCTAGCATACTCCGTCTTTTGAGTCGGAGGTGTGCAGGAACAGACGTTTGACCGATGCGACGAGCGGACAAAAAATCAAGGATGCTGTGTTCCACGAGCGGGTGCCGGTAGCACAAGCTTGCGAGAGAGAGTTGCGCAGCCCGCGTTGCAGCCTTGCAGCCCCACGAGGTGTTGAAGTGGTGAGATTCTCTTGAACCGCAGCCGGGCGTCCGACAGCGCCGCAGGAGGTAAACACATCCTGTGTAGAATCACCGTAGAACGGGAGAAGATGCGCAGTAATGGGTAGATGGTTCTGTGAGACCTCGCCGCCTGTCTGAATGATTACCCCCCCCCCCCCCATATCCCTTTCAGATCTTCAGTAGGCTTGGCCAGGCGGGGCCAGGCGGGGCCAGGCGGCTCTCGGCAGCTCTCGGATGCCTGGGCTCCATGTGTCACATCGCAGTGCGTTCCAGGAGGGAGCCATCCAAAGGGTGCCCTAAAAAAAAATAGCGAGCCGACAGCGAGTGCTGTGGCTCCAAGACCAAAGAAACCCTTCGAACCGAGAGACAAAGAAGCCGAGCTGACCTGGACTTCTCTTGAGTGGTGGCCATGGCCAGGTCGAAGCAACCATGTCCATGAAGCCATACTCATGCTACAGAAGTCTGCTTCGCATGCTTCGCTTTCGGCTGGCGCCTCACCTTTCCCTCCTCGTCGCTTGTCTCCGCACCGGTGCACTTGCACGCAGCATCTGGCTCCGTGGCCTCTTTGCAATTTCCGACGCGTCTTCAAACCTCGGGCCTACGTTTGACAGATACGGGGAACAGTGGTCGACATCCGTGATCTTGCAATACCCACAGGTTGCATAAGTCTGCACATGCGACTCACCAACCGCAATCGGCAGCGCACCGATGCAGATTGGCGAAGATTGGAGAGCAAGATAATAATTGCAGAGACCGCGCATAAGCAGGATGTCTAACTCACGTCTTTGTGGATCATGAGTCACACCATGGACGGAAGACTTCCCCTGCCGGCCCTTATCTCAAGGCCCTTTTCCTGAATGAGCTGTGAAAGTCTCTCCATTTCTCTGCCTTTCTTTTTCGCCGCGCAGTGTTTTTTTCGCCCTCCGGTGTGGTGCTAGGGCGGTGCCCTCGGCGGTGCCCTCGGCGGTGTTTTGGGCATGGCCCGGGCACCGCGGCTGCGGCTCTCAGAGGCGCGGTGGAGGAGGAAGGAGAGGTCTCCAAAAGAGAAAAATGGGGAGCCAGGCTCCCCGCCCCCCCCGTTGGTGCTGGGGGCAGGCCCAGACCGAGTCCGAGACGCTCCTCACCTGCCTTAGGCACGGGGGGGGGGGGGGGGGACTCCGCGCTCTCTCCTCACGGGTCGCCGACGCGTCGCGCAGAGCCGCTGCCAGGCTTGTGCTCGATTGCCTTGGCGATGGTCCCAGAATGTCCCAGACGTTCAAGTGATCCGTGTCAGAGAGCCGTCAGGCCATGCTGTTGAGCAGTGTCTTCTGGGCTGGCAGTAGAATCAGAAGTCTTCGAGATCGGCTTGGGCTTCTGCGAACTTGGTCCTTCCCAGGCCACGTCTGCCACCCTCTTGTACAGGCGCGTTCAAGAACACTTCGGGTCGTTTCGCGTCAGCATCTGCGCCAATCGCCGAAGCTGCACCTGGACAGGCGACACCATCCGCGAGGTCGTCTCCTTGGACGGCGTGCAGGCGTCGGGTGGTTATCAGACGCACGCAAGGCCAATTCGTTATTCGTGTGTTCTTTATAGCCTACTGTTCACTGCAACACGTGCGGGCGTAACGTCCACCTTGGGCGATTGAAGCTTCATCTTTTTTACCCTCGTGCCGCAACAGAAGCCGGTAGCTGCATGATGCCGCAGCTTGGAGTCCGACGTGCAGTGCAGGTGGGGAGTCAAAGAAAGGCTACGACGTGGTCGTTATAGGCGGGAATGGGACGCGGAGCGGCTTTGGACAGAGGAAGGACGGACACCTTTGACCCGTAAGTCCGTAAGCTGCTTTCAGGGGCCGGACTGGGCGGCCTGGCCTGTGCGGCAGCGCTCGGCAAGGACTCCGGGCTTTGCTCCCCCTGTGTTTTTAAGTCGCGTCTGCCGGTCGAAGAGGCTGGGCGCCGCGTGCTCGTCCTGGAAGCACACAGCGTTCTTGGCGGCTGTGCTGGGGCCCTGGACCAAGACTGCGAGACTAAAGGCAGGCTGTGCCGCTGAGAGCGCAGGCGCACTCCTTCAAACGCAAGGCTCCTGGAGGAGGCCAAGGGTGGAGTGGGCGGCCCTGGGCTGCTCTCGGAGTTTCCGTCCCGCTCAGGAGAGTATCTCTTCGATTCTGGTCCGTCCATTCTAACAGACATGGGGTGGGAGGCCTGGAGCAATCGCCCGCATGCCGTTGTAGACTGACGGTAGAGGATCGGGTATCATTTGTGCAAGTTTGCGCCTCGCGTGAGACTTGCACGGAAATGCGGTCAGATGAAAGAAGCATGCATCACCAAAATACGCTCAGGAAGCGCAATCCCCTGCGGGTCGTGATGGACTACGCCGCTTGCTTGGCCTTCCCACGTTATTTAGGATCCGTTGTCTTCTAACATGTGGTCAGGTCGGGGCAAGCCAAGACGTTGAGTGGATCTATTACGATGGTGGCAAGCTCAAGATCGCAATATATCGCAATGCTTCGCCTTGCTTTGCGAACTTTTTCTTGCCTTAGGCTGGGGCATGCTGACCCCTGAAGGGCCCTGGCGACTGCAGCTGGGGACGTCGAACTTTCGCGACACCGTCCTACCAAGGCCGGGACATCCCAAAGAGTCCTCACCGACTTGGGGTGGCCTTTCTCCGCGACAGGTATGGCGTTCCGCCCGAGGAGTTTGACGAGGTGTCCTCATCCTAGGGTTAAGGATCTGATTTGCTTGTTGCAGATTCGGACCAGAGCCAGAAAGCAGCTTGTGCCCTCAAGCCGCATGTGCACAGGTTCTGAAGGCATCAGCTCCCTTGGCGCAGGCAGCCTGCTCATGTTCCGAATCTTGCTGTCTGTACGCCGCATGCCTAAGCCAGACAAATCGTCATCTTTTCCTGGGACTTCTCCCAGAAGTCCCAGTGGGCTTAGCTCAGTCACCGACGATCGAGTCGAATCGTTGTTGGGCAGATTGGGCGCCAGATCCCTGGCCTGGTCTTGCGAGACGACGAGCCCTGTGCCCGGAGCGGCTTAGGAACTTCAGGGTCAACCCACTTACCTACTGTCTGCCTTTCTCTCATTGTCTGTCTGTTTGTCTGTCAACTCCTGTACCTGCAGACATCGAACGTGCCTGCGCAGTGATACTGCACGTAACAGACAGCTAGCATCTTCGCTGTATATGGTTCTCATCGCGGTTTGATTCCCGGAAAGAAGCGCCATACGCCAGAGCTCGCACAGGTCAGGACACCTGTGAGAGCCTGCAAAATAACAAAATCCAACCGAGAGTGCGCCCAACTTGTCGAGAGTGTGCATGTGTTTATGGACGTATGTATCCCAAATGTTGGTTTGTCCAACTTTTTCCAAAATTTCAGGGAATTTCTGCATTATGTATAGAGGATTTCGTGGAAAACGTTGGAAGAAATATAATTTGTGCTTCCCGGTGCTTCAAAAGTTGGTTTTTCCAACTTTGTTCACGAAATGCTCCGAAAAGTTGGTTTTCCAACTTTTTCCAAAACTTTCCATGAGTTTTCGCACTATGCATGGAGGAATTCGTTGAAAAAGTTGGAAAGCCAACTTTTTGAAGCACTTGGAAGCAAAAATGTTGGTTTTCCAATATTTTCAGCGAAATCCTCGATACATAGTGCAGAAATTCGTTTAAAGTTTGGAAAAAGTTGGAAATCTGAGCGTTAGTATCCATAGAAATACAAATACATATATGAATATATTAGCAGAAGAAGTAGTAATAACGTTATAAGATTATTAGTAACATGATTGTTAGTATCCGTAGGATCACTCGTACTCATATTAGCATTAGTATTATTTCGAGTATTCGTGTTCGTAAGAGAACTAGTATTCACATTATAGATGAAAATGCATATTTGTATTCTTACGAATATTAATCCCAAGTTAGCACTCATACTAGCATTAGTATTACTACGAGTATTAGTATTCGTAAGAGCATTAGTATTCACGTGAATATTTATATTCGTGTCATTAGTATTCGTATGTTTACCAATACCGGCATTAAGGTTAAACTTATATGAATATGAATATTTTTATTCGTATGAATATTACTCTAAATATTAGTATTTTTACTAATTCTTACTGCTGCTAATATACATGCTATTCATGCTAGTATTAACACGGGCCAAATCTAAGGTATCTTGCCTGCAGTTGTCGTGTGTCTTGGAAAGCCAGAGTTGGGGTACGGGAGGGGGGGGGGGGTAGCAAATATATGTATGTATCTATATACACACATATTTCAACACTATACACATATATACTAGCTGTATACATATATACATGTGTATAAATGAGTACATATACATGAATATATACGTCTATGAATAGAAAATATATACATACATAATTACATGAATACATACATATATAAATCTATAAACCTACAGTTCTATAAATATGCAAGTACATAAACATGTAAGGACATAAATACATAACTATATAAATATCTTAATGTATAAATATATGATAATATATGAAGATATGGGTTTATGAATATATGATTAAAATTAGCACCTGTATATAAACAAATAACAACGTAAGTATATGCATATATAAGTATATCAACATTTAAGTACTGTGTGTTTGCGCCACGCGAACGTTCCGGGATATTTCTGCGAAAGGCATCGCGAAGAAAACATTTCCAAAAGAATGAACATTGATCAACGCTAATGTATATAATGTAACGCAATGTGTAACGCAATGTCTCTGAAGGTGCCCTTATGTAGTGTAGCGTAGTGAAAGGTAACGCAAAGCCATGCAATATTGCAGTGTAATGTGAGAGTCGTCTTCATAACCCCTCCCCCTGAGATTGTTTTGCGGTGGCAATAGAAAACCTCTGGCCGTGTCTGGGGTTCGTAGTATCAGTTTTCAGTAGTGTTGGTAGTAATAGTAATTAGTGGTAATAATAGTAATAGTACTAATAGTTGTAATAGTAGTATCAGTAGTAGTAATAGTAATAGTGGCAACCGTAGTAATAGTAATAAGTCGAACCTCCTCGGATTGCAGGGCTCTGGCTTTTTGCTGGCGCACCGTCTGGTCCTCTGCCCTCCTTCTGTCGTTACTGGACTGAAGTAAGCGGTGTGGTTTCCCCTAGATTGAAAACAGTCTGGAACTGCAGTCTGCGAGCTGCTAGTTCAGTGTCGTGTCTGCGGAACTGCACTCTGCTGGCTGACTTTAGGATCCTCTTAGTCTCAGCTTTTGCTAATTCTTTAGCCTCGCTCCTATTTCTTTTGGGTAGTGTAGTGTAGTGTGCTGTAATGTATGTACGTACGTACATAGGTAGGAATGTATGTACGTGTATATGTATGTTTGCATGCAGAAGCAAGAAAAATGACAGCATGAACAATCATCGCGCAGGAAGATTCAGAAGACCCAGAATACAACAAAGTGTCATCTCACTGGTCACTAGTTTGACGGTCTGTGATTCTGATACTCTAGAGGGCTTTGGGAGTTTCAGGAAGAAGGAACATGTTCCAGTCATTCAAGTCCCCGTGCTGAGGTGGCAGCTCCTCCCGCTCCTCCTGAAGGCACAAGGACACAAGGATGCACGGACGGAAGAAGAGAATTACCGTCTTCAGCCGTGCAGAGTTAAAGAGGTGAGCGAAGCTTTAGGCAGCCTTGGACTCGCCACAGGTTCCGAGTTTTGATGAAAAGTCCCGATCCGCGCAGTTTCCTGGAGCGGTGTTGCCGGCCATCCGCGAAGCCGCCAGCCTCTCTGAGCCTTACAGCAAGGCGGACCTTTGGAGCAACGTGCTTTGATCTTCTGGTTTTTGGACGAGTCTGCAACTCGATGGGAAGGTTTTGCGGTCGTGAGCCCCACGATTTCGGAAATTGTAAAATGGATTCTGCAAGGAAAGGCAATGGCACGCTTCCAGCATAAAGAAGCGGCATTTGCAATTGTTCCCCCCCCGCGCAGGTTCTTGACCAGCTGGAGGCAGAGGGCAAAATGCGAAAGGGGAGCTGGTCAGGAGCTTTGCCGCAGGGCTGCGCCGCTGCAAAACTCTGTGCACATATGTAGCAGGTGATACCAGGTGCCTAGAATTGCCGGGGTTTTTGGGCTGAGGTTGCGAGCCTGGCTCGATGCTCTGGCCTTCTCGCTCTCGGGCTTAGACTGCAGCGGTCTGGATCCCAAGATGCCAGGCCCAGGCCCAGGCCCCAGCTTGAAGAGGAGAGATTGGGGGGTTTCTTCCCAGGCACCACGACCGCAGCGATGGCATTTACCGTCGACGAACTCCATTGGGAAGGCTGGATCCATCGTTTTCGCGGAGATGCGCCGCGAGTCATGTCGGAGTCATGCCTCCAGCCGCTGAAGAGCCTGTGAAAAGTCTGGTCAGGCACCCGTGGCCTTGCCTACCCCAAGGCTCGTCTTCTGAAACGCAAGTGCCGTGCTCCAAGCCGTCTAGACGTGGCCAAATGCAACGATGCTCGAAGGTGCAGGAAGGGCACCGTCCATCGGACGTGCTCGGGCGTAACTACATGTTTTTCCACGACGTGAGTCTACTCTTTGAAAAGAAGATGTCAGACCTGAACGCTTTGGAGCTAGGAAGCCGCCTCTGCGTGTCGCGGCAGGGTGGCATGGGCTCCGTGATTGATGCCCTCGCAGCCGCGGTGCGCCGCGAGGGTGGCGAGATCCGCACGAACGTTCGGGTAGAGGAGGCTCCGCTACTCCGTTCCTTTCTTGTGGAGTTGCCCCTGAGGACATGTTTTACATCGGACTCTGGTTAGTGTAGAAAGCCAGGGAGACAAGGCAAACGCACATCAGAGGGTAATTTTCCTGAACATGTTGTTGTTCTTTGCTGAGCTGTTAGATCACAGCCTCCTGCATCCATGTACTGTCTGGAAGAGGTTGAAAGCATGCCGCCTGTTGGCACAGTCCTGTAGTGGTGCGCCACCATCGTACTTATGGCAGGTTCTGATGGACAATCGCTGTGCCGTCGGTGTGCGATGTCTGCGGCTGAGGAGCCCAGCTAACTCTCTCCCCAAAGTCAGACTTCGAAAGCCCAAGCATCGTCGCCTAAGCTCAACGTTTACTTAGTCTGCGTCGGGTCAACTTGAACGTTGTTGTACTTACTGACGTCCTTGCCTACTTGCTTACTTGCTTGCTTACTTACTTACTTACTTACTTACTTACTTACTTACTTATTTACTTACTTACTTACTTACTTACTTACTTACTTACTTACGTACATACTTACTTACTTACTTACTTACTTACTTGCTTGCTTGCTTGCTTGCTTGCTTCCTTACTTACTTACTTACTTACTTACTTACTTACTTACTTACTTACTTACTTACTTACTTACTTACTTACT